GCTTCCTGGGCTTCTAAGTTGATTTCTTTCACCAGGTAGGGGAAGTTTTCTGTCATTAGTTCTTCAAATAGGTTCTCAATAGCTTGCTCTCTTCTCCTTCTGGCATCCCCATAATGTGAATGTTGTTATGCTTGAAGTTGTCCCAGAGGCTCTTTACACTCTCCTCATATTTTTTAATTCTTTTTTCTTTTTGCTCTTCTGATTGGGTGTTTTTTGCTTTCTCATATTCCAAATTTTTTACTTGATTCTCGGAATCCTCTCTCTACTGGTGAATCCCTGTAAGTTATTCTTGATTTCAGTTAGTATATGCTTAATTTCTGACTGCTCTTTTTTTATGTCTTTGACATTTTCACTAAAATCCTTGAAAGTCTAACTAAGTCCCTTGAAGCTCTTTTTTGAGTACCTTGAAGCTTTCCTTCAGATCCTTGAGTAACCTTATAACCATTGTTTTGAGCTCTGTATCTAGTAGTTTGCTTGCTTCCATTTCTTTCATTTGTAACATTTTTCTTTGTCTCCGCATTTTGGCTGCTTACTTGTGTTTGTTTCTATGTATTAGGTCTCCTGGAATTCTTAGAGTGGCCTTGTGCAAGAGGTGTCCTGTAGGGCCTAGTGGTTCAGCCTCCCTAGTCACCTGAGCAGGGCACTCTAAGTACATCCCTATGTGGACTGTGTGCACCGTCTTGTTGTAGTTGAGCCTTGATTGCTGTTGGTGATACTGGAAGGAGTTGACCTCCAGGCTAACTGGCTGTAAGGACCAGCTGCAACTACAATGGAAGAGCCGTTGTGCAGCAGACACTCCTATGGAGCAGGACTTGTTTCAGTGGGGCTCTGAGGCTCACTGAGTCTATGCCTTGAGTGTGTCACTTGTGGATGTGTACAGCTGTAATCTGCTATGTTCTGAAGCTCTCCACCAGGTGCCCTGGTTCTGGGGCTTCCAGAGAGGTGCAAAGTCAGACACTGCCTGGGGCCACCCAGCAGAAGCTACAGAGAGGTCTGAAAATGGCTGCTATTTGTATGGGGCTAGGAAGTGCCCAGGCAAGGTCCAGCTCTGAAGCAAGGCAGGCTGGTGCTAATGCCAGGTCTTGGGCCTTTTATTTATAGGTTTTGGGAAAGCTGATGCAAGGGGCAGCTTGTATGAGATTTTAGGGAAGTTTGAAGCCTGAGCCAGGACAGGCCATTCATATGGACAAGCTGCTGCAAACAGCTTAGGTAGGGCTGCAAATTGGATGAGGCAGGGTCTCAGGGAATCACCAGGACTGAGCTAACAATGTGAGTCATGCTGATGGAAACTACTAGTAATATATGGCTGCCAGCCAGCTCTGCAACAAGGAACAATGACCCCTGCCTGCAAACACTGCCGTCTGGGAGAAATCCACCCCTGATTTCCTGCACTGATGCCACACAATCCAGTTCATCCCCCTATGTGTCTGGGTTCCCCAAAGCTCCCCAATGATGGGGCTCAGAGGGATGGAGCCTGAGTGAGTTAGTATACCGGCCCTTTAAAAAGAACACCTGGGTCTCCAGCAGCCTCCCTGTCACTCAGCCACAATCCCTACTGGTATTTAAGCTCAAAGTTACAGAGACTTCTCTTCCCAGCTTTGGAACCCTGGGCTCGGGTCTGGTGTGGGGCTGGGACCCCTTGCTCCTCACAGGGGGCCTGCACAGAGACAATCTCCCTCCCGATTAAGAAAAGAGCACACATAGGTGCCATACCAGCCTGTTCAGCACCTCTGGCCCTCCTACTAGTCTCAATGTACTTTCTTCTTTACTTCTCCAGTTGTAGGACTTCCATTCAGCCAGCTTTCAGGTAGTTCTGAATGATGACCGTTCTGAATTTTAGTTGTACTTTTGATGTGGTTGAGGGAGGCTGCATATACTGGCATTTACCTATGCCACCATCTTGGTTCTCCTCTATTTACTTAATTTTAAAACAAACATCTTCTCTCTCTTATTTCCTCCTCCCCAACTAGTCAATTTATAACTTCTTGAGAAATAATAGTAAAGTCCATTCTTACAAATGAGGCCACACGAATAAAAATCCTTTGGTTTTACCACCACATCAGCCACCAATGAAGAGATTGTTGCACGTCAAAAATATGTGAATATCAAGAGAGTGTGGTAGTGATGAAAGAACTGAGAAATAGATCAAAAGAACAATATAGAGAGCCCAGAAATACACTTGCACAGACATATTCAACTGATCTGTGACTAAGGAGCAATGGTAATTCAATGGCAAAATGATCGTTTTTTCAGCAAATGATATTGAAACAACTGAACGCCACATGCATATGGAATTACAAGAGCCAATGAGTACCCAAAACAATTACAATCTCAAAAATGAACAAATGAGGCAGACTCACATTTACAGATATCAAAACTTACTATGAAGCAAAGCAGTCAAGACAGTTTGCTATTAGTGTAACAAAAGACATGAAGATCAATGGAATGTTATGGAGTGCCTCAAAATAGTAATAAATTAATGTGTCTATGCTCAACTGATTTGTAATAAGGGTGCCAAACCATTAAACAAATGGTGCAATTAGGACATTAATACTGTGCTACTCTGTTAATACTGAAGTATCTTTATAAAGTTTATTCCAACTCTGAAGTTCTTGACTTCATTATCTACAGGCTACACCATCCATATAAACTGAATTTCAACAACAGTTTTTCAGCCTCTATTACATTATGCTGTGCTAGTACCTCACCTCCAAGAGCTCACTGTCTAGGAGAGACAGATACATCAATAATAATCACATTATAATGTGTCTTATGCAATAATGCATTTTCTTCTTCAACAGTACTACAATAATCAGCAGGTGTTATGGAAAGAGCCTTCAAAAGTATATTGATTCACCTTGGCTCCAGAGTTCCAGATTTGGTTCAGATTCACCCCAGACCAATGTCATGTTTACTGACTAATCGTAATATGAAGACAAGACAAGGATAAACACCCAACCTTTAATAAGGCGTGACATAGAAGACAGCAACCACTGCAAGGAAAAAGAAATAAACTGAAATAACTCAATCAATGCTAGTAAATCCAGGAAAAGGAAAGAAGGGAGGAAGGGAGGAAGGGAGGAAGGAAGGAAGGAAAGAAGGAAGGAAGGAAGGAAGAAGGAAGGAAGGAAGGAAGGAAGGAAGGAAGGAAGGAAGGAAGGAAGAAGGAAGGAAAGAAGGAAGGAAAGAAGGAAGGAAGGAAGGAAGAAGGAAGGAAGGAAGGAAGAAGAAGGAAGAAGGAAGGAAGGAAACAAACTTCACAAAATCAGCTATTTGGGTAAATCTAAATAACCATTGACTGAAAGCAAAACAACTATATAATGTGGGAGCTATTAAAATATGTATAAAATACATGATAACAATGATATAAAAATCAGAAAAGTGGTAAATGGAGTTAAAGATAAACCTCTGAGCAGTGATTAAAAGTGTAATTAATACATTATAAATCAATGCTATAGGGGTATAATTTACAACAATAAAATGCATACCATTTAAGAGTATAGTTAGGTAATAGTTCACAAAATATATCACAGCACCACAATTAGATACCGGAAACAATTTCCATCATCTTAAAAGATTTCTTGTGTCATTTCCCAGGGAATTCCACCCTTTCATCCCAGACTTCAGGCAATCACTGAGCAGCGTATCACGGTAGATGAGCTTTGTCTTTTCTAGAGTTTCATGTAAATAGAATTATGAAATATGTGCGCGTTTGTGTCTGTTCCTTGAGCATGATGACTTTGAGATTCAATGATTTTGTTGCGTAAGGAATTGTTTCCCTGTTGTTACTGAGTAGCAACAAAACACATTCCTTTGCATGAATATGTCACAATTTGTTTATCAATCCACCCATGAATGTACTTTTCTGTTGTTTCTGCTTTGTATACCTTTTTCTTTTCTATCGCATTTATCCCCTCTATACACTCTTCCACTTCCACCAACCTCTTCCCCCTGCAATCACTATACTGTTGTCCATGTCCCTGTGTTCTTTCTGGGTTTTTTTCTCAATTGCTCCATGTGCCATGCCCCCCTTCCAGACCTGTCTGCCTGCTATCTATGGGTGAGTCTCTGTTTTGCTTGTTGGTTCAGTTTGTTCAGTAAATTCCACGTATGAGTGAAATCATATAGTACTTGTCTTTCTCTGACTGGCTTATTTCACTGAGCATAATGTTCTCCAGATCCATCCATGCTACTACAAACAGTAAAGTTTTCTTCCTTTTAATGCCGAGTAATATTCCATTGTGTGTGTGCCATAGCTGTTGTATCCACTCATCTACTGATGGACATTTGGACTGCTTCCAAATCTTGGCTATTGTAAATAACACTGCAATGAACTTAGGGGTGCATATATCCTGAAACATATAGTGTTTCAGGTTTCTTTGGATATATTCCCAGAAGTGGAATTGCTGAGTCATCCAGTTTGTATTCTTATGGATAAATCTGTGATGAACACTAGTGTGCAAGGCTTTGCATGGACATTTGTTTTCATCAGTAGATGGTTCATAGGAAAAACTACAAATAATAAAACACAATTTTAGCCCAGCTGGTGTTGCTCAGTGGTTGAGCATCAACCCACGAACCAAGAGGTCACTGGTTTGATTCCTGGTCAGGGCACATGCCCGGGTTGCAGGCTTGATCCCTACTAGGAGATGATGCAGGAGGCAGCAGATCAATGATGTTTCTCTCTCATTGATGTTTCTATCTATCAATGCCTCTCCCTTCCTCTCCTTCAAAAACAATCAATAAAAAAATATTTAAAAATTTTTAAATAATAAAGTAAAACACAGTTTTAAAAAGAAACAAAATCTGAAACACAATCGCTCTGTTGGTTTCAGGAACCACTCCTTCTCTTTGTCTTTTCAAGCCAAGGGAGGGTACTGGTCGCCATTGTTAACAATCCTTGCATTCTGTGGTTTCACTACACCTACATCTTATGGGAAGTTCCATAGGACTACTTAATAAAGGAAGGAAGTCAAAGGCCTGGTTTGCAGTTATTTGGCATGAATATCGGCCAACACCAGACAGAAGCAGACGACTGCTGCACTGTGGCCTTGCGCCAGAGTAGCCCTGAAGATATAGGTGAAAGAAAATCCTCCCAGAGTGCAGAACACTGGCTAGTATATAGAGTTGTCCACCTTGTGTGATCAGAGTACTAGTGTAAAGGTCAACACTAATTCATGAGCAGTGACTAGCTAGTTTTACAGATGGTTAGAGAATGAACCTGTTACTTCGTAGTACCCCAAAAGACAACAGGAGATATTGCTTTATTCTCTGAAGAACGGTTTTGATTTTATTGGTGATAGACTGATTACACTGGACCCCTTCTATCAAAGAAAGGACAGTATTTGTCCTCACTGAAATGGACACTTTGGCACTTCTTCCAGAAAATGCAGATTTACATAATGCCACATAACCATGCTTCTGACTGCAGGTCACATTTATTGGGGAAAAAACTGATACTAATAGGCTCAGGTCCACACAGATCATGGTCTAAACACCAACCAGAAGCCTCTGGCTTAATACAACTGTGGAATGGTCTACGGAAGGCTCAGGAAGCGGCCTCGGAAAAATAGTGGGGATTTTTGAGATTCTTTTTAGTGTTTTGCAAATGTGAATAATTTAGAAAGTAAATACTTAGTGCACATATAATTTTATGCTTTTGCTTATATATATACGGACAGCTTCCTGCTGTATCAATGAGTAAATTCATATGTGATTTTACTAGATATTACCCAATTTCCCTGCATAGGGGTGTACCATATGCATTTCATCGTCAAAAGCATGAGAATGCCTGCTCACCTACAGGCTCTCCAACTGGGCAAAATTTTTCCAGTCTGATATGAAAAAGAAATAATGTCTTAGTTTCTGAATATGGGTGACACCATACATAATGGGTTATATCATATATAATACAAAATATATTGTAGATCTTCAAATCCTTGTCCACTTTTATGTTGTCTACTAAAAATGTCTCTGGTTTGTTTTTGACCAAATAGATGTCCTCTATTTTACATTTCACATCTTTCTCCTTAGAAGATCTCTTCCACACAGTCTTCTGATTCATGTAACAGTGAGAAGGGCTGGAACTTGGGGAATGTCTGACTCATGGAGCACAAGCATTGTCAGGACATTCTCCATCACGTGTCTGTGCTTTTCTTTGCTTGTCAGTGACATTCTCTCAGATCATCTTCTTCCTCGTGGCAGGAACTGCACTGCTTGATTCATCATGTACAAATCAACTTGAGCTTTTTACATTTTTTAAAATATGTTTTTATTTTCCTCAGAGAGGAAGGGAGTCGGAGAGAGCGATAGAAACATCAATAATAAGAGACAATCATTGATCGGCTGTCTCCTGCACACCCCACACTGAGGATCGAGTCCACAACCAGGGCATGTGACCTGACTGGGAATCAAACCCTGGTATCCTGGTTCATAAGTCGACCCTCAACCACTGAGCCATGCCAACCAGGCTCAACTTGAAATACTCTGATTGACCCAACCTACTTTACATGCCTACTTTCTGGACCAATTGACACTGGTCAGGAAATGGAGAAGATACTGTGATTGAGCAGCCTCTAAAATAAGCACATGACTAAACTAAGTCAAGGAGCAATTTTCAAAAAGATGGAGGGAGGATTGCTTTAAGAAGATGGCAGGAGTGCTAGGTGTACAAAACAATATATGACCACCAAAATGGAACTGTCACTGTAACATTGATGAGTGTCTCTTTATTTTTGCTTCTTAATTAGGCTTTGATGTAGAGGCCATCTTTACAGGGTTTGCAACAAAATGACTAGCAGACAAAATAAACAGAATAGTCTTGGGCAGTCTTGGGATTGAATCAGTTTTTCTTTTTGGTGATCAAAATGTACCACATCTTCCCCTGGGACTCCTCAGCCCCTGAGGTAAAATTCTTTTCACTAAATCATGATAAACCCATGGGCCTGACATAACCATTAAGCACACCAAATGCTGCAGAACTATGGGGACTCATATTTTGTTCTTTCATCTTAGGTTTATAACTTTTTTCCCTAAAAGACTTGATTTTGCCTTTCCCAAATTTAGGCCCCAAATTCAGAAAAAATAAAACAATATGGACAATACAGTTGATTAATAGATGGGCTAGAATAACTCTGTCTTTATCTCTGGGCCTCCAGGATGACATTATTGACTCTTGGGCAAGAAGAGAACAGTTTTATGATCAATTGTGTAAAAGGTAAAACTCCCCTGGCAATCCCTTCCATCCCAGATCAGGGTTTTTTTGTTTTTGTTTTTTTGTGGTTCATACTTATTTTCTCTTCCTTGCTTCCTTCTTTTTTTCCTTCCTTCTTTCCTTCCTTCCTACCTTCCTTCCTTTCTTTTTTATTTAATTAAATTTGTTATTGTTTGAAGTATTACATAGGCCTCCTTTTTCCCCCATTCACCTCTCCCTGGCTGCTCCCACCCCCCAGCACATGCCCTCACGCTCCTACTATCTGTGTCCATTGGTTATGCTTATATGTATGCATACAAGTCCTTTGGTTGATCTCTCCCCCCAACCCTCCCTTGCCTTCCCTCTGAGGTTTGATGGTCTGTTTGATGCTTCTATGTCTCTGGATTGATTTTTGATCATCAGTTTATGTTGTTCGGCTCAGTTTTTTAACTGACGGCTAAAGCAGTTAAACAATTGGCTAAAGCAGTTAAGTTAGGTGGACTTGACTATGTGGCCAGAGTCATCAAAGTCTATGCTGGGAACTTCAGGTTTGTGTTCTAGCCCGAGCTAAGATACCGCACACCAATCTTGGTGGTTCAATCAGGAGACATGGCATGTGGTGTGCGTGAATATGGGTCCTGAGTTCCCTGAGCCTGGGAGGTCATCCCTCCAACCTGTCATGTTTGCCTGCATGCCTTGATGCACTCTACCCTTTACCTCTAAATCAAAGCATTACCTAATATAGAGTCTCATGAGGCTTTCAAATGCCCCAACTTGGGAAATCTTTTTACTTAAGATGTCTTTTAATGACTGAACTATCATTGAATTACTGGAAAGACCACTAGGTACCACTAAGATTTATTTTTAAAGTAAATAAAAATAATCAGGTTTGCTTGGATTCTCCAGATTTGTATTAATTTGGAATGATTATACAAACTCTTTTTGTTCACCAAGCTTAGGAGGAAAGGGGTGGGAGGAGAAGCCTGATAAATGAAAATTAAAGTGTATCTTCCTGGGTAAAATATCTACTTATATAAAAACCACTGGTGGTGTTCATCACGACCGGGGTCTGGCTGGCGACCAACCAAAGGAAGTCAGTCCTGCAGGGGTTGTCTTGGCAACAGCTATGCCCTCCCCCGAGCTGTTTCCTGGAGCTGTTCTGTAAGGGCAGGGTTTGAGGCAGGAACCCGCACTCAGAGTGTGGACCCACTGAATCCAGGGTCCTTTGCCAGGACTGCGCCCTCCCTGAGCTGTGGTTCCCTGGGAGTGTGCTGCGCCAGCACGGACAGGGTGAACCTGAGTGGGGGCGGCTGAAAGGCTTAGAAAAGACAGATAAGAGAATGAAAGCCAGGTCTCGGTGGGACACTGCTTCTCTAAGAGACAGCGCCCATGCCCACAGCCATGCCTTTATTTTATAGCAGATGCTAGGAGGCAAAGTAAGGGCATGACCAAGTGTTTACAAAATTCTCCTGGGTTGCAATCCTACTCAACTACATGCACCTGAACTCTATCAAGCCTACATTACTCAGGCACATGGGGCCACGTGTTCGCACCATAGGTTCAAGCTTACAACTACAGCTGTTGGCTATAATTGTCCTGGGAGGGCCCTGCCCTCCAAGCTGGGACTTGCACGTGGAAATGAGAGGACTGTGCGCTCTCCTCAGTCCAAGACTTTAACCTGTCCAAAACACTGTAGTGGCTCCCCACAATAAAGTTTTAATTCTGTTTCTTTGTTACTAATGTTGTGGCCCCAACCCATAACAAAGAAACAATTTCCAGAGGATGAGGCCCAGGAATCAGGGTTTTAAAAAGATTCCCAGGTGATTGTAATGTGAAGCCAAGAATTGAAAGTGGTTGCAATCATCATGTTATTGAGAAATCTCAATAGTAAAAGGGATCTTTGTAATGGTTCCAGATTTATTATCAAAAGATTACAACCTAACGTTATCGAAATTGAAGTATTAACAGGATCTGCAGAGGGAGAGGCTGTTCTGATTCCAAGAATTAATTTGTCCCCATCTGACACTGGCCTCCCATTTAAATTGATTCGATGACGGTTTCCCGTGATGCCAGCATTTGTGATGACTATTAATAAATTACAAGGACAAACTCTAGACAAAGTAGGTATATTCCTACCTGAACCCGTTTTTGCACATGGTCAATTATATGTTGCTTTCTCTCGAGTTTGAGGAGCATGTGATGTTACAGTTAACGTTCTAAGTACTTCATCACAAGGGAAATTAGTCAAGCACTCTGAAAGTGTTTTCACTCTTAATGTGGTGTACAGGGAGATATTAGAATAAGTTTAATCACTTTATCAGTGATTGTTTGCATCACTATTATTTTTTATTTTTTTTAAATTAAATCTTTATTGTTCAGATTATTACATTTGTTCTTCTTTTTTCCCCCCCATAACTCCCCTCCTCCCAGTTCCCGCCCCACCCTCCGCCCTCACTACCCACCCACTGTCCTCATCCATAGGTGCACGATTTTTGTCCAGTCTCTTCCCGCATCTCCCACACCCCTCTCCCCCCCAAGAATAGTCAGTCCATTCCCTTTCTATGTCCCTGATTCTATTATAATCACCAGTTCATTCTGTTCATCAGATTATTTATTCACTTGATTCTTAGATTCACTTGTTGATAGATGCATATTTGTTGTTCATAATTTGTATCTTTACCTTTTTCTTCCTCTTCCTCTTCTTAAAGGATACCTTTCAGCATTTCATATAATCCTGGTTTGGTGGTGATGAACTCCTTTAGCTTTTCCTTATCTGTGAAGCTCTTTATCTGACCTTCAATTCTGAATGATAGCTTTGCTGGATAAAGTAATCTTGGTTGTAGGTTCTTGGTATTCATCACTTTGAATATTTCTTGCCACTCCCTTC